CAATTAGCTATCTTGGACTTCATAGCCTCAGCCTATGCCAAGAACAGCTAGTTGTTTTGTTCATTTTGTGTTTGTATCAAGGTACCGGTTGTGGTGTTTCTTGTATTCTGCTTCTAGCAGGCGCATTGTATCCATTGTACATTTTCTCTTTTGATATAAAATCTATCGTTGTGAAAAAAAAAAACACTATCAAGAGATCAACTGAGTATCTTTCGGCTAACTTAAAAAAATAAGGGGATGTTAAACGACACAAACCACCACAAATCTTTAGAGATAGAGAAGGTTATTTATGAGTGGTTTCTCCAATACTAAGGTCGTGTAAATATTACTGGGGAGCTAATTTTGAAGAAGGCAAAGGAGGCGATGAAACTTTTATACCCTCATCGGCCTTCTGAGCACAACCTTTCATTAGGTTAGCTTGAGAAGTTCAAGCAGAGACATGGTATCAAGTCATTCCGTCGTTTTGGAGAAATTAGTTCGGTTGACACACAGAACATTGAGCAGAAATTGAGTCTATAAGGGAAAAAATAGAACAATTTCCTAAGAAAGATGTGTACAATATAGATGAGACGGGTTTGTTTTACACGTTACAAGCTAATCATTCTCTTGCAACAAAGCAGCTTGAAGGAAGAAAACAAGACAAAGAAAGACTTACAATTATCATTTGTTGCAATGAGATGACTCAGAAAAATTCCGCTATGGATTATTGGAAAATATGTAAAGCTATGTTGCTTTAAGAATGTCAATATGAATGATTTGAGTTGTCAATATCGTGCCAATAAAAGAGCATGGATGACTAGCGTGTTTTTTGAAGAATATGTTCGTTGGCTAGACCAAAAAATGCATGGTAGAAGAATTTTGTTGGTGGTAGATAATTGTCCAGCCCATCCAAGTAAGGTTGAAGGACTTCAAAACGTGGAGTTGTTTTTCTTTGCCACCTAACATGCCATCAAAAACCAACCATGTGACGCTAGGATAATAAGAAATTTCAAGTTGTATTACCACAAGCGATTTTACCGGAAGATACTGAAAGCCTTTGAGATTGGACAATCTGATCCAAAAAAGATTAATATTTTAGATGCTATCATTCTTGCAATATCAAATTGGACTGTAAATATCCAACAAGAGACAATAACAATTTTTTTCGGACATTCCAAAATTTGTTCGGGGGATGAAGCAGCCTTAAGTAGCTATAATAAAGTAGCTTTTGAAGAAAGCATTTGTGAATCTGAGAAAATAATTAATTATTTGGGTTACCACAACAAAATGAATAACCATGTCACAATCTTATGTATCACATGAAGTGGCTTTAATAATTTTAATTGTAATATTCAACATGACATTATTATGTGGCTTTAAATATATGTAAGAATGCCACGTAATAATGCCATGTTAGATATTAGGGCATCCACATCCCATTAACACACATTTCATTCATTCAACCAAAAAGTAACATTCTCTCTTCATTTAAACACACCCCCACATTCTTACACATTCATTTAATACATATGTAGGACCTATTATCCACTCATTCAATATACATTTTTATATTCTATTATCAATAAAAATAAAATTTAGTATTTCATTAATAAATTTTTTATAGACAAGAATGAGATAGAAAATGTAAATTGTTGATACATGTTGGAAAGTGTGATATAGATAAAAAAAAATAAATTAAATATAAAAACAAAAGAAAAAATAGTCAATAAATAATTATTTAAAAAAAAAAAGAAAG